TTATATTGTGTATTTTAAAATATAAATTTAAAAAGTAGGGAGTAGCAGCATTCACTTTGCTAGACACTATCTGGTAGGACTGCCTTGCTCACAATTTCCTCTAAACATTGCCCCTACCTGTCTGGCAAAGTAGATGCTAGGACACAAAAGAGCTGACTGGATCCTACTGGAAAGGACATGCCTGGGGCTGTCTGGGCTCGCCTCAGTCACAGGGATGAAGGAGGAGGCCCAGAGAGGCTGGTTTCTGGCCTTCCCAAAGCTAACTGCTTCATTTCTTGGACTTGACAGTATTCACTTCCAAAAGCCCTTCCCATCCCTGGGCAGTCACATTCTGTTATTTGTAGCTGAAAGAACTGTCCTGAAGCAGGAAGAGTGGTAGAGGGAGCTGCCGGGGATCCCCTAATGGGTCCCCCATGCAGCTGTTAGCTCACCAGCCCACTTGTAATTCCTATGACACTCAGAGGAGGCGTAGGAATGTGGGAATGCTAGCTCCTTGCCTGCGGCACAAGGCTTTCTAGTTTAAAAAGCTCAGCTCCCAACCTCAAGTAGGAAGGCCCAGAGAGGCACCTGTCACCCAGATGACTCAGCCAAGTGCCCCTTTGCACGGACCCTTACTAAGCAGCTCTGCCTTCCTGACCCATGTCCATCTGAGCAATGGGGACGCTTTGGCCTGCTGACTTTCACAGAGTCAGGGGAGCGCCATGGGTTCCCCTGACATGCAAGGTCAGGGTGTTGTAAGGAAGAGGAGATGTGCAGGGTCCAGTCCTCCAGACTCCCAATAAACACAATCTATAATTGCTTGCTTTGCGAACATAGCTTAAGACCAGTTCCGGAGCCCATGAATCCTTTGCTCTTGGAGGACTCTTACAACCCGAACCTCCTGGAAGACATCAAAGGGTGAAGCCAGGAGGACACCGCTGCAGCCCATGGCGTTCCCTGAGCCAAGCCTGGTGCCCAGTAACTTCGAGTAAGGCCTGTGCTCATTTATTAGATGTGACCTCTCTGGAGAGCCGAATTTGCTGAGTTTTTACTCTTTGGGCCTATTCGCTAAGCCAATCTGTCAAGGTTAAAGCCCATCCAGTCCAGAGGATTGGCTGTCTCCTGGTGCAAAGATGCCCAGGGGTCGGTGGGGGAATCCAGGAGACCCGGCCCAAGCAGCAAGCAGCAGCTGTGGCCCATCCAGAGGGAGGGAGGCATGTGCTCTGAGGTGCTGCTGTGCTGGCCATGGAGTGGGGAGAGGACTGGATGGCAAGGCACCTCCCGGGACGCTTGCCTCTCAGCGGCTGGGTATTAGCTGGAAGTTTTCTTCTGGCCTTGAAGGGAGCGGAACAGCTGCCTCAGCTGTTTTTTTCGGTCATTGATGCAACCTGGAAGGGAAGTGGAGTGTTGGCTGGGAGGTCCTGTCTGGAGGAAAAGGGGGTGGGGAGTGGAGCAGCCTGTGCTTCTGCCACCTGTTGGGAGGAGGAGGCAGCAGCCATGCAGCTATGGGTGGCTTATGGTTTGCAGCCTCAACTGCTGTGGCCCTCAAGCAGGTAATTTTCCTCTTCGTGCATCAGTTTTCTCACCTGGAAACCAAATACTTGCTTTATGGGATGAGTGTAAGGATCAGCAAAGGAAGGTAACATTCACTGGGGACTTACCTCAGGGGCTGCTTCGGGTGCTGAATGTGGGTTAACTTGTTGAGATCTCACCAGAATGATGTGTAGAAGAAAAAAACTGAGGTTCAGACATGCCAAGTTATTTGCTCCAAATCACACAATAAATAGCAGGTCTGGGTTTTGAACCCAGGCTAGAGGTCAAGTTCTTAACCACTACCCCACATTGCTTTCCTTCTGGTTTCACTCAGTGAAAAGCATTAAAGCTAGCACAGAGCCTAGCACCTAATAGATGCTAGCTTTCTTCCCTTACCCAACCCCATGTGTCACGCACAGATGGCTAAGGGACAAATATTTCCCACAGAGTCACCCCTACTCTCATGTGTGTCCCAGGTAGTCCGTGGTGAGAGGCCACCATGAACATTGGCGACACCTCCTCTCCTGGCACATTCACGGTGTTACCACTTCCTGTTTGCTCTCAGAGCTGGTCCTTGAAGCAATTCCATGATCACTGAATCTTGTGCCAGGCATATTGATGGCACTCACAAATGCTGGTTGAATGATGAGTCCACATGGCCACAACTACTGACCTGGAGGAGACACCCATCTTTCTTAGCACCCCAAAACACCATTCCTAACACCTAGGTGCTCACTGGTCGTCAAGGCTTCAAAGCTAAGAGCCCACTACATACATCCCCAGGGCTCCATGGAACCTCAGCTTTAACTGCAAGGGCTCATTCATAACTCCCAAATATTTGTGTCCAATGCAAATCTCTTCTTGGAGTTCTAGACTCATCTCTGAGTCATCTGCTGATGTTTTCACCAGGAGATCCCTCAACATATCCATAATGCATTTCATCAATCCTCTTCCCACTCCCGGCCAGCTCCTCTGGTGTTCACCACCATATGCCCACCCTCCACTGGATACTTGGGAATTATCTAGAGATTTCTCAAGCAGTGGCTCTCAATCTAGGCTGTGCTTTAGGGTCATCGGGGAGATTAAAAAAATACTGATGTCCAGACCAACTGTATCTTTATCAGGCATTGGTCTTTTTTAAAGCTCCCATGTGATTCCACAGTGCCTAGTACCTAATAGGTTAAGTGCTAGCTTTCTTCCCTTACCCAACCCCATGTGATGCAGCCAAAACGGAGAAGCCAAGGTGTCCTGAATCTTTGCTACTCAAACAGGATCCAGAAAACAGCAGCATCGATATCTGAGACGGATTGTTAGCAAGGAGAGCTGCAACAACCCCTCCCTTTCCTACATGCAACCTCTCTCTACAGGTGACTGCTGCTCTTCCCAAGAGGTGGAGTCTATTTCCTTGCCCCGTGAATCTGGGCTGGACTAGCTTTAACTAATGGATTGTGGAGGAATGGTACATTCGGACTTCTAAGCCCAAGCCTGGGTGTCAGGAGGTTTCACTACATCTTCCTCGCCTTCTTGGAACCCTAGGACTGCCATGTGAAGAAGCCAGGCAGCACCGCTGGAAGATAAATGACCACCTAGGCAGAGAGGCCCAGCTGACAATCATTATCAACCACCACACATGTTGATGAAGCTATCCTAGGCTATCAAATCTCAGTGCCTCGCCAGGTGCCTGGAGCCCTATGAGTGACTCTAGGTGACACCTGAAGAATGAATAGCAAATCAGATAGCCGTTTTAAGCTGTGAGGTTTGGGGGAGGTTTGTTACACAGTAACAGTTAACTAATAGAGAGCATCACCTGGGAACGTGTCAGATATGCAGAATTTTAGGCCTCACTCCAGACCTACTGAATCATAATCTTCATTTAAACAAGATTTCCAGGTGGTTGTATCCACAGCTTGAAAGCATTATGTAGTCATCCTCCAAACACGCAATTTGGCAGACACTAGGGATCTGCTGTGGAAAAGCCATTCACAAACTTCCTCTCCCCTGCCTTCCTCAAGGCAAACTACTTGACATCCAGGCTTCCTGGCATCATGGGTGGCCATGTGAGCCAGCTCTGATCGATGTCAGCAGAGGCCCCTGGGAGGGCATCCCTTTTGGGATAAACAATCAAAGCCTGAAGGAAAGGCTTTGGTCCTTGGGCCTCCCTGTTTCTTTCTGCCTGGGACAAGGACATAGCGTCTGGAATTGGAGCAGCCATCTTGCAACCTGAGCAACCTGAGGCGGCAAGCACGAGCACCAAGGCAACCTACGAAGTGTGGCACAGCAAAAAGAGGTAAGAGCATCATGCCGCCATGTGCCAGCCCTGTACAGCTAACCCCAAGACTTCCTGTGGCTCAAGACAAATCAGTGCCTCTCTGGCTGACTATTAGTGGCGTTTTTGTTGCTTGCAGCCAAGCCCAATCCTAAATCGTACCAAAACCTTTTCATAAAAAATAAAAAGATGCCACAGAGAGCATTTAAAAAAGCAAATTACAACTCAGTAAAATGTTTACAATAAGCTTGACAGAGAGGTGTAATTTAACATATTAATATCCAAGGCCTTTATCCATTTAAAAAAATGTAAACAGCCCATTGAAAAATAGATTGAGTATGGACAGCTAACAAAAGAAGAAATGCAAATTAAAAATCTGAAAGCTCACCAGTGAGCAGTGGAATGCACACGCTGGTAAAGTTTTTTTGTTTGTTTGAATTCAGAGCTCTCTCCGGAAAGCAATCTGGCTGTAAGAAGTCTAGCCCTTTGACCCAGTAATTATATTTCTCGAAATCTGTCCCAAAGAAACAGCCAGATTTTTCAGTTGAGCTTTATGTGGAAGGATGTCCATCATGCCATTGTTTATAAAAGTGAAAAATTGAAATCATGCCCTGTGCTCAATTACAAGAAATTGGTTTAGCAAATTTGGCATCTATGTAAGCAAGAATATTTTGTAGTTCCCAATATTTTGGGAACTTTGTTTTTAACTGTGCTAAGGGACAGGAGAGCCTAGCCGTCAAGCATTCCGGTCTAGGAGTCAGACAGACTGGAGTTCAGGCCCTGGCTCACCACTTATAACCGAGACCTTAAGCAAGTCGTGTGACATCTGGAAATCGTTTCCTTATCCGTAAAATGATAATAAAAGCTGCCTAAAAATGAAATGAGATAACATATGTAAAATATTTAGTCTAGACCTGGCAAATAAGTGTTTCCAAAAGATAGGCTCTTATTAACATTGTTGAATGATGTGAAAAATGCTACATGGAAAAGTGGGACTCAGAACTCCAGTCCTATGCCAAATCTGTAAAAGGGAAAAATATGAATATATGCATTTTTTAAAAACTGGAAGGAAGCATACCAGATAGTTAAAGATGGTTATGTCTGGAGGATTTTTTATTTCCTTCTTTAGTTTTCAAATATTCTACAATAAGTGTGAATAATTTTCATTTTTTAATGTTTTTTTAATGTATTTATTTTATTTCAGAGAGAAGAAGGGAGAAGGAGAGAGAAATAGAAACATCGATTGACTGCCTCCTGCATACCCCCTACTTGGATTGACTGTCTCCTGCACGCCCCTTACTGGGGATTGAGCTTGCAGCCCTGGCATGTGCCCTGACTGGGAATAGAACCAGGGCCTCCTGGTGCATGGGACGAAGCTCAACCAACTGAGCCACACCGGACAGGCAAAAATTCTCATTTTTTAAACACCAGGTTTTAAAGTCAAGCCCTGAAATCCTTAATTTCTCTTTAATCTATCATGGGAGGGGGGTTGTTTGTCATTGTTTGCTTTCCTAAACCTTTTGAAATCTACCTCCTGGCAGATTAATAACATCTCTCACTATGTGCCAGGCAGCGTTGTAGGCATATATGGAGATAGAAACTATTTACTCTCCATTTCACAGGTGAGGAACAAAGAGGTTAGGCCTTGGTCCAGGTCATACAGCTGTGCCGAGCTGCCCGTCTTAGACTACCTGGAACCTCCCATGACACATCCCTGGTGCCCACTTCCCACAGGGCCCCACATACCAAGGTGTGTGTTGGTCACAAAGTTCCCCATTTCTGACAAGTCGGGAACCCCCTCTTCTCTGCTGACGGGGCCATCATTCCACATGAGGTCAAAGCCTCCCACTCGCTTCTCCCTTCCTGTGAGCCTGGACAGGCAGGAGACACAAAGGGTTAAAGAAGGTGCACCTGGTAGGACCCAAAGACCCTGGCCAGGTCCCTGATTCATCCCTGCAGCCTGCTGGTCCCCACACTGTCAGATTCCCTTCCTTTGCCCACCATTCACTGGCTGTTTCCTAGGTGCCCACACAGGTCTCAGAGGGGCTGTCCCCCACTTTTGTCCCTTGGCTTAAACACTTGCCCTCAGTACTTCTGCATTCTAGTTTAAACTCTGCTGTCTCCCCCAGACCACAAATTCCAGGAAGGTAGGAACTGGGTCTGTTCTATCCTTTACTGTGTCCTCAATGTGTGGCACAGGGCCTGACACACGTGAGGCTCAAATGTTTGTTGAGTGACTAAATGATGGCAGATATAGTGGACACCTGAGGTTCCCCCTGCTTAGCATCCATTTTACCTTCTTTTAGCCTAAGAGTGCCTCCGGTTTTTCCTTTGAGAACCATCCTCCCTCTCTCAATTACATGGCTCAGGTGAGGTTGACCCCATCCCCTGGGAAGTGGGCACAAGACCTAGGCCTGGTTAATCAGAGTCATAATGCTTGGTTCAGAGAGGGCATGTGACCCAAACCCCACTCATGAGCAATAAGAGTCAGCCCTCAAACTCTTGCTGGAATAATTGAGAAAAAAACTAATAAAGAAGAAAGAGATGAGATGGAATGAGGAACAGGGAGAGGGAGGGAGGGAGGAATGGAAGGATAGAGAGATAGAGGGAGGGAGGAATGGAAGGGAGAAGACAGACCAACCAACACTGACTGAAGTCAGGCCCTGAATTTTCCTTACGTACACATTGTTGTAACAACATATAGTCACTTACTGAGCACTTACTGTAGCTAGGCACTTGACAATAAGTTATCTTGGTAAATTGATCTAACAATCCTGAGAGGTAGACACATGAGCAAACAAGCTCAGAGAGGTGAAGTGACTGGTCCAGGGTCCCACAGTCAGGAAGTGTCGAGGAAATCCTGCCGGACCAAATCTCAGAAAGCTGTGGTTGGCCCTGTTCTGACCCCAAAGGGCTGGGTCCTTGGACCAGGCTCCAACCCTGTGTGGACATCTCAGTCTCCATCTATAAAATAGCGGGGCAGGCTAGAGTATCTCTGAGGGCCGTTCAAGTCCAAGGTTCTGGGTTCTATCTCTTCTTGGGTGGGAGCCCCGATTGTCATGTGCGGGGTGCCTGAAAGGCTGCCCTCCCCCACCTGGCTTCCATGTCCACGATGTGCAGGGTGTCTTCCAGGAGGCAGGTCTTGAGCTCATAGTCCTCCTGGCTGCTGGCTGTCAGCGATGGGGACGCATTGACCTCCAGGAGCCATCTGGGGAGGGAAAAGAGGGGAGAGTCTTAGGGTTACCTGGTCCCTGGAGCTCCTGGAACTTCACTGAGAGGCTAGATGGGGTGCCTGGGCCTCACCCTCAATTCACCCAGAGTCACTCTCTCCAATTGTCTAAAACTTTTTGAAAACAATTGATACCCCACAGGGGCTGGGCTTGGTGAACTGGAAAGAGCATTCCATGTCTACAGGGCTGGCTGTGACCAGCTCCAGAGGAGTGTTGCCCTGTAGGAGCATGAGCCCAGGATTACATGACTGTTTTATGTTTTCCAGAAAAGACAAAAATCCAGACTTTTGTGTGACCATCTCCCAGTGTTTAGAGATTGTCACTGAATTTCAATGAAAAAGAAACAAACAAACAAAAATATTCTGAAGGCCAAACTCCAGGTGGCTGCAGGCCAAAAGCAACCCAATGGCCTCCAGTTTACAACCTCTTGTTTTGTGCAACCCAGTCGTTTACAGCCAGGAACCTGGGCACAGAAAGGGAAGGGCTCACCCAGCAGGTCAGTGGGAGCCTCAGGCCCCACTTTCCACTATCTGCTGCCTCCTCCAAGTTTGTTTCCCCTGTCAGCATCTACTCTGATGCCCCAGCCTCATCTTACCCCAGGGGCAAAGGAGAGAGACCCACTGGTACTGGACCGTTTCTCTGAACATGGGCTCGATTTAGATCTTGACTCCTACTCCTGGCTCAGAAAGCACCTCAACACCATACAGTGACCCTCAGGAGGTGCTGGGCCCAGGAGCTGCACTACTGGCGTGGAGCAGCTCAGCCCAGGAACTATGACCTTGGGCCTGACTCTGCCCTTGACTTAATGGGTGACCTCAAGCTGCCAGAACCACCCAATGGTATTGCATGAGGGCCATTGCTGGGGTCCCTGCCACCTCAGTTTGTTCTACTCATCAGCTCAACCTCATGGACACTGAGGGAATGCACCAAATTCTTGACAGGGATCGACATGGTGACAATACTCCCTTATAAGGCACTTTGCATCTGGAAAGCACCAGGGCTTACAGAAGGTAATTTTCTTGCTGGTACCAGATGAGGATCCCTGACTCAGCATATATTCAGGAAAGGCCTCTGAGTGCCAGGCATGAGGCTCAGTGCTCTCTACTTCATTTATTCCTCATAACAATGCTATAGGCACAGCAACCATCTTACAGATGGGCAAACTGAGGCAACAGAAAGTGTGCCTAACGAGGAAGTGGCAGAGCTGAGGTCAAACCCAGGTAGTCTGGGTGGAAAATGTGCCCCCTGGCTCTCCAGGGCCACTGGCCCATCCACTTACGGCTTGAGGTCCTGGTCTATGAGAATGTCATAGCCGTACAGCTCAAAGCAGTGCTTGTCACTGATGATCACCTTCTGCACACTCTGCAGGCTCTTGATGAAGATGTTGTCCATGTCACTGAAGAGCGATTCCACTGCTTCTGGCCCGTGCTTGGACGCCAGGTACTGTCGGAAGCGCTGGAGCATCCATTTGCAGCCCTGGGGCCCGTGCACCCGGGTTGGGAGAGGGAGCCTTAGTTAACCGGGACCTGGGCTGCCGGGACCTTCCAACAATCGCCATCAACATGGCCCTCAGGCTTGGACAAGAGGAGCCCATCCCTGAGTCCTGTGACCAGGAGAACCCCAAGTGTTCTTTCCTTTTGGGACAAAGACTCTGCAAGCCCAAGGGGATGTGTCCAGCCAGAGGGTATGTGCCTCTCTTCCTAGAGCATAGCCTAGGCCAGTGGTCGGCAAACTGCAGCTCAGCAAACCGCGGCTCGCGAGCCACATGAGGCACTTTGGCCCCTTGAGTATGGCTCTTCCACAAAAAACCTACTTCTGCACATGGGCCACAAAGTTTCAATCGCACTGTACGTGCACGCCCGCACGTGGTATTTTGTGGTATTCTGTGGAAGAGCCACACTCAAGGGGCCAAAGAGCCGCATGTGGCTCGCAAGCCACAGTTTGCCGACCATGGGCTAGCTAGACTCACAACCCTGGAAGTCCTTGCCCAAATGCCCTGTGCAGGCCTCTCCCTGGGCCTGCTTCCCTGAAGACAGATTGCACTGACCATATGTGCATCCCAAGGCCCACAGAATGATCAGCTGCTGCTTGTAGTAGGGTCGGGGGGTATGCAGGAGGCCCCCACTGTGCGGGTATGAGCCGGGGGCCAACTCTCCCTGTGCACTCCTGTTCTGGCTCTTAACTCTTAGAAGTCATAGAGTTCTAAGTTTGAAACTGGCCTTGTAGGTTATTAGGTAGAAGGTCGACAGGTAGATAGATGATGATGGATAAATAGAAGCATATCTGTCCAGTCAGGAGGGTATGTTGTTTTGTTAGAGGGTATGTTAGTTTGGCTTATAACTTATAAATATCTAGACACTATGCATGGGCCTCCATTTGTACTCTTGCCCTGGGCCCTGCAAATGGGAAGGGTGGGCCCGACTGCACTGTGAACTCTGAGCCCAAGACAAGCCTGTGCTGGGCTCTCCGGCACTCTGACCCACCGCCCCGGCCGCCCCAGAGGCTGTGCCCGAGGGCAGGAGCCCCGCTTGCTCACCTTCTTTGGGTGGTAGTCAGGGGACGTCTTTTGCACGGCGACATTGGTGAGGTGCACATCTGGCAGAGGTTGGTGGTCAAGGATCAGTGTGGACAAGAAGAGTGAGTCCTGCTCCATGTAGCCCCTAGGGGCCAAATTAAGACCCTTCCTTGGGAACTGATGGGGAAGGCCACAAAAACAGCCCAGAGGTCACGTGTGGGCTTTAAAGGCCGGTGGGCCTGGGTTCAAATCCTGCCTGCATTGTTACTGGCTCTGAGCCCCTGAGCAAGTCACTTAGCTCCTCCGAGTCTATGTTCCTACATATTTAATGGGAGTACCTAATAGTAGGTTGGCCTCACAGAAGTATTTGAAACAGACAGATAACAGTCTATAGAAGCACCTCTTATAGTGCCTGGTATAGCTGTTATTATATTATGATTTTTCAACTCAAGAGGAGAACATTTTCTAACATATAGAGAGACTAAATATAGAACAGCCGTCTCGGGCTATTCTGAGCTCTCTGTCACCAGAGGGGTTCGGGCTGGGTGGCCACTTTGTAGGAATATTGAAAAAGTGATCCAGCTTTGGGGTGAGGTCAAGATGGCCTCAGAGGTCCCAGCTCTGAGAGTCTGCCTTTTGCTATCATCACCATGGTGACCACCAGTAACATCGACGACACTTGGCAGCTTACAGAGCATTTCACGCAAATCATCTCATTTGTTCTTCAAATTATTCCCATCTCAAAGAAGAGAACGTGAAGCTCAGAGAGGCTGGGTAAGGGACAGCCGTTCAGAACACCCCTCCACCAACACCCCCCCCCACGTCATTTCACCTCATGAAATGACCATAAGGTGTAACTTTCTCCAGGACTTACTGGGAGGTAGAGGCCCTAGGGAACTAACCCAAGTGTAATTCCCCTACAACATGTGTTGCTCCCCGTTTGCTGCATGAAGCGCAGAGGAAGGCGGGCATCCTCGTTAGCACCATTGTTCTAGAATGTCTTCTTTAGAGATATCCAAAAACTTTTTTTTCACATTTGTCTGAGAGTTCTTCTATCTTAATTTCAAAAGAATAAGCACATAACAAACCACTAAATAATAAAAAGAGCTCTTAGGTTTATGGTCAACTGACTTTGGAAAAGTGTGCCAGGGCAGTTCAGTGGGGGCAAGCACTAAATGGGCCAGGACACCTGAATATGCACATGCAAGAGAATAAGGTTGGACCCCTTCCTCATACTATAGACAAAAATTAACTCCAAATGTATCTTGGACCTAAATATAAGAGCCAAAACTTTAACTCTCTTAGAATAAAATATAGAAATCAGCAATGACCTTGGGTTAGCCAGGGCTCCTTAGATGTGACATCAAAAGCATGAGTGACAAAAGAAAGAGTAGATAAGTTGAACTTCATCAGTATTAAACCCTTTTGTGCTTCAGCTATGGCTGGTTGCTCAGTGGTTAGAGCACCAACCTGCAGACCAAAGGGTCGAGGATTTGATTCCTGGTCAAGGGCACGTACCTCTGTTGCAGGTTTGATCCCCAGCCCTCAGTCAGAACACATGTGGGAAGCAACCAGTCTATATGTCTCTCTCACTTTGATGTTCCCCTCTCTCTCTCTTTCTCTCTCTCCCCTTCCTCCCTCCCACTTTTTCTCTAAAGATCAGTGTAAAAAATATTTTCGAGTGAGAATTAAAACACACACACACACCCCAAAACAAAAAAATTTTGTGCTTCAAAGAACATTATCCAGCAAGTGAAAAGGTGGAGCACAGGACTTTTAGGGCAGTGAAAATACTCTGCATGATGCAACAATGATGAATACACGTCATTATGCATTTGTCCAAACCCATAGGAGGTACAGCCTTAATGTAAATTATGGACTTTGGGTGATGATGTGTGAATGTGGGTTTATCAATTGTAACTAATTAATGGGGAATGTTGATAACAGGGGAGACTATGTGTGTGTATGGAGGCAGAGTATGTGGGAAAGCTCTACCAGTGGTTCTCAACCTTCCTAATGCCGCGACCCTTAATACAGTTCCTCATGTTGTGACCCAACCATAAAATTATTTTCGTTGCTACTTCATAACTGTAATGTTGCTACTGTTATGAATCGTAATGTAAATATCTGATATGCAGGATGTATTTTGCGATCCACAGGTTGAGAACCACTGCTTCCTCTCAGTTTTGCTGTGAACCTAAAAATGCTAATTAAAAAAAAGTCCTTAAAAATAAAGGACAACCCACAAATTGAAAAGGATATTTGTAAGTCATGTATCTAAGCAGTAGTATTAAAAAATAGGTAAAGAACTCTTACAGCTCAACAATTAAAGAGACAACTAATCCAATTTAAAAGAGGTCTAAGACTTCAAGTAGACATTTTCCCAAAGATTTACAAATGACCAACAAGCACATGAAAAGATGTTTAGCTTGTCCAATGTTGCTCAGTGGTTGAGCATCAACTATGAATCAGGAGGTCAATCAAACCAGGTTCGATTCCTGGTCAGGACATATGCCCGGGTTGCAGGCTTGATCCCCAGTGAGTGTGGCATGCAGGAGGCAGCCAATCAATGATTCTCTCTGATCATTGATGTTTATATATCTCTCTCTCCCTCTCCCTTCCTCTCTGAAATCAATAAAAAAATCGAACCCTGACCTCCTGATTCATAGGTCGACGCTCAACCACTGAGCCACACCAGCCAGGCTGTTTCTACTTTTTACTCTTGCAGTGTTGAGGTGAATATTTTTGTATTTTGTGTGCATATATGTATATATATATTGACTAGTTTATGTATAAACAATATATATCAAACTATATTTGTATGCACAATTATAAAAGTCAGGGTAAAAATATATCAATGTTTTGTGATTCAAAGTTGGTTTATTATTTTAAAAGTTGGTGTGTAATATCTGAAGCAAATGTGGCAAAATATTAATATCTGTTCGATCTGATGGTAGATGCATGGATTTCTGTTATAGTCTTTTCTACAGTTTTAAAATATTTTTTAAATCTTTCAATATTAAGAGTTAAAAACAATTAGAAGGGATGAAAAATGACATACAGTCACTCACTGGGAAAACAGCAAAGCTGCATTCAATAGAAACTAGTGCTGGGCGTTGGTTTGTTTGATAAGGGCCCACAATGGCTGGAGATCTGCAAACACTCTGAAAGGGGAGAGCGTACCCCTCCTTGTCCTCAGTAGCCACTCTGGCCTTGGCACCATTCCAAGTACATTACCTGCATCATTTAATTTTAATTAAAAACAAAACAAAATGAAAACAACGTGGAAAATGAAAATGAAACTAAAATAAATTTGATGGCTTGCCTCTGATAAATGCTTGTTAGATTTACAAAAAAACAACAACAAGAACACATACAGGAAATGTTGAAGTTGGTAAAACAGAAAAAAAAAATTATAAAAAATTCTCAGGAGGGCCTACTCCCACCCTAACATGCAGGCAAGGCAAATGCATTACCTTGGACAGACTCTTAATTGAATGACGAAATGAAGGCCGCGAGCTGTGAATCGGCTAAAAGCATTAGCTGGCTCACCCAAATCGGAAGCTCAGCAGCCTCACCCTCCATTCCCGTCTCTCCCATATGCAGGCACTCCAATCCTGCTGATTTATCTCTGAATATTCCTGCATTGTTTACCCCTTTTTATCTGATGCTCGGGTCTAAAAATCTTAAAAACACTTAAAAAATATTTTTATTGATTTCCCAGAGGAAGGGAGAGAACATCAATGATGAGAGAGAATCACTGATGGACTGCCTCCTATCTCCCATGGGGATCACGCCTACAAACTGGACATGTGCCCTCACAGGGAATTGAACATGTGCCCTCACTGGTTCATAGGTTGATGCTCAAGCACTGAGCCACACCGGCCGGGCCTAAAAACATTTTGTTGTTGTTGATCTTTTAACCAGATAATAGATTCACATGATTCAAAAGTCAAAAGGTATAAGGATGTGTATTAGGAAATAGCTCCTGCACACCCACCCATTTCTCCTCCCGAAGGCAACTTCTGGTTCCAGATTTTTGTGCCTCCTCTCAGAGATGTCTATGCACAGATGACAGCATCGCAGTATTTTTAACATGAGGGGAGCGTACACTTCTCAGAGAGCTATACTAGTTCCCCCCAATTAATGATACAGCTTGGAGATTATTTCATAGCAGCACATAAAGCATTTCCCCTATTCCTTTTTAACAGCTACCTAGTATTCCATTGTGTAAATGAACCATTCCTCTAGTTGTTTCCTATTCTTTCACTCTCACAAACAAGGTTGTACAGTGACTGACCTTTAAACTTCCATTTTCCTACATTGTGAGTGTACCTGTGGGAGAAAGAGCCAGAAGGAGAATCGCTGGGTCAGAAGGTATGTGCATTTGTCTTTCGGTAGACATTTCCCGGATTGCCTCCTCATAGGGCACCAATGTACACTGGCACTAATAGCGTATATATCCTCCCAACCTTGCCAACACAGAGTCCCATCAAGTCTTTGGTCCCTACCAATGAGGTGGGTGAAAATGGCATTGTGTTTGAGTGAATGAGTGAGCCAGTGACGAGGCACTGAAGAAAAGGACGTGAAAGAATGCAAACGCTCTCCAAAGGGGCTCAGAGTGTCCGATCCTATGAATACTAATAGATGTGAATGAGATCCGATGAGTACCAATCCAGGTGAATGGCAGGCACACCACCAACAGGACCATCAAGCAGACTGTGTGGGATGAGTTGAACGGAGCAGATCACTGGGGACCTCCCGCCCCCACAAGACTGGAAGCTCTCCTGTGCCCAGACCAGAACCAGAACGTGGCATTCAGCAGGCGCTCAGCACACACCTGTGGAATGGACGAGCTCTCGCCGGACCCCAAAGGACAGGAAGGGAAGGGCGCATGGGGGTGGGGAGGCGGGTCCCAGGATACACTGGTCGTCAATGCTGCTGAGTGTGAAGCGGGTGTTGGAGAAGCGGGCGAAGCCATCACGGTACAGCCAGGCCCGCAGCGGGATGTACTGTGACAGGTGGGGCCGGAGGAAGACAAAAGGGAGGGGAATAAATACGTGTACTTTCCCACTCACTAGCTTCTGTACCTGCTGTTCCCTCCACCTGGCGGGTCGTTCCTTCTTTCCCACATCACCCTTCAAGAATCTGCTTCAATATCAGCTTCCTCTGATTCTACCCCCCTCTTTCTCTGGGGTGGGGCAGGGGCAAGATGCAGAAGAAAACAAAATCAATGGGCTTCTCTGCTCACCCCCAAGTGTGACACCCCCACCTCAGGGTGTGTCCATAGCTCCCATTGGACAGTGGGTGAGCTTATCTCCTCATACCCAATATAGAGTAGTGCACCATGAGGTTTAAATGTTTGTTGAATGAATGAATGAATGAATGGCCTGGCCAGTGTGGCTCAGTGGTTGAGCATGACCCATGAACCAGGAGGTCATGGTTCAATTCTAGGTCAGAGTACATCCTTGGATTTCAGGCTTGATCCCCAGTAGGTGGTGTGCAGGAGGCAGCTGATCGATGATTTTCTCTCATCAATGGTGTTTCTATTTCTCTCTCTCCCTCTTCCTGCCTCTCTCTGAAATCAATAAAAACAAGATTTTTTTTTTTAATGAATGAATGGGTGCAGGGAGCATAGCAACTCCTTGATTAAGAGACTAAGTTCTGGAACTAGGCTGACTGGATTCTAATCCCAGCTCTCTCTTACCAGCTGCGTGATCCTGAGCAAGTCATTTAACCCCTCTTTATCAGTTTCCTCATCCGTAAAATGAATAATAGAACCTACCTCCCTGGCTAGCAGAGGACTGGAGAAGATACAACATGCTAAATATCAGGGCCTGGGACTTAGTAGATTCTCAATAAATGTTAGTTGTGGTTACCATGAATGACAGAATGAATAAAAAAGGACATGTGGAGGGCAAATCCAGATGCAGGGGCGTCTAAGATGGTACAACTTAGATCCATTAACAAGCCCCACCCACCCTCAGAGGTCCCCCTGCACCCTTCTAGGCAGACAAAGTCAGACAAGCTCACACAGGTGCCCCCAGAATGGCTTTTGCTCCCCGTCTCTGAGTCCAGCTGCCCCTTACCCACCACTGGAGGAGGGCACCTGTCTTAGTTACTCACCGACATCACCAGCACGTAGACACGCAGGTCAAACTTGCGGCCTGTGAGGCAAGGAAATAATTCATGCAGCAAACACTGATTGCCAGGCACTGTGCTAGGTTTGGGGGATGTGGCAGTGGACCCACTGATATGAATCCCAATAAAAAAAAACAGGAAGTACAAGGTGCCCCCCTCCCCCAGGCAGGAGAAGCTGCATGACCAGAGGCCCAGGGAGGTCAAAGACCTTGGTCCAAGAGCAGAGTGGAGGGAGGCGGGTCAGCAGGGGCCAGGTCATGTGCAATTTTTGGATTTTGTTTCAACCACCCACTCCCCTGCTGTGTAAAGCCGCTGAAGGGTGTCCAATGCCTCTGGCTCCTGTGTTAGAGGGGAGCAGAGGGGACCAGGGCAGCAGTAGGGACCAGGGAGGAGGCCAGCACAGTTGTCCGGGAGAGAGGACGGTGGCAGGACAGGGATGCAGGTGGCCAGACAGATTCAAGAGCTGGGAGCTTGGTGAAGAACCGGACGTGGAGGGGGAAAGAGGGACAAACCCAGAACGGTCTCTGACTTCTGGCTTAGCAACAAGGGGAGGCTGAGGCTGTACCCCTAGACGGGAGGGCTGGAGAGTGAACCAGATGATGTGGGAGGACAGGGCTGGATTTTAGGCGTGTGGGGTTTCAGCAGCTGGGGGATGCCCAGGAAGGGATGCTCAGGACTTGGGGTGTGGAGGCAAGGTCTCCACCAAAAGCTGGGGGAAGCACGGAGAGAGGGTGGGGGCACTGGGGTGGAAAGGGGAGGGAGGAGAAGAGACCCCACGGCTGCCCTGGAGAAGAACAGTATCCAAGGAGCTGAGCAGAGGCAAGTGGATGAACAGTATTTAATGCCCCTCCAGCACCTGGCCCTCTCAGACGACGAGACCCTCCAGAGTCACGCCCCTCCTCACACACAGCCTGACATGCCTGCATTTTACAGACCCCGTGTGGGAAAAGCTGATGTGCAGACGCCCTGGGGGAATCTGCAAAGGCTTTATGGGAGGGGACCAGGGTGTGTGAACATAATCAAATCCACTGGGTTGTACGCGCCTGCTGGGTGCATTGTGTGGTGTGGGAATAGATCTCAATGATGCTGCTATTTAAAAACAGGAAAAGAGGGTGTTCAGGCAAAGTGAACAAAGTGAAATAACTTTGCCCAAGGTCATACAGCTGTCAGTGGCAAGGTCAGGATTTGAACCCAGGCCATCTGGCTTCATGAAACCCACAACCATGGACAGACTCACCTTGGGCCCTAGGCCCCTGCAGTTGCCTCTCCCTCCAAATCTACCCACGGGTGACTCCTAGTTGTCATTCAGGTTTCAGCTCACCTGTCACCTCCTCAGAGAGGCCCTCCCTCCCTCTCTGTCCCAGCGCCCCACTCCGTGGCACTCGCTTATTGGTTTGTTTCTGGTTTAATGCTGTCTGCTCATCTGGGGCAGCCAGCACTCAGGACAGTGGCTGGCACTGAGTAGGTTCTTTATAGATATCTGTTGGATAAACGCATGAATGAGTTGGTTCTTGAAAAATGAGGGGGATTTTAGTGAACCACAGAGCGGGTGGGAAAAGCATGCCAGGCAGAGGAACGGCATAGGCAACAGCTAGGAGGCGGGAGAGTGCAGGACAGATCTCCATCTTTGCATCAAGTCACGCCTGGTGCCAGGCCAAGCCCTCGGTAGGTAGGCTGCTAGTCAAGGCTTGTTGACTGACTGAGTGACCATGCAGTGGAAGAGCAGGGAGTAGAGACAGTCATCTCACCTCCTATCAGATAGGGGTTTTCGATATAACGCTGCGCTACATAGTTCTCCACAGGAATTTCTTCTTTCTGATCATCCGAACTTTTTGAGTCCTAGTTATAGTAATAATAATAAACATTTATTGAGCATATCCTCTGTACTAGGCACTGTCTTAGGCACTCTACTTGGGGTATATCAACCCTATCAGGGAAATTCTAATGTTACCCCCATTTTACAGATGAGAGACTGAAACACAGAGAGGGGGAGTGATTTGCCCAAGGTGACATGCTGGTCGGTGGTGCTGCTGGGAAGTGGACCCACACAGACTGGGTCCAGAATCTGGCAGTTAACCCAATAGGGCAGCCACTGGCCACATGTGGCTATGTACATTTAAACTGGTTAAAAGAAAGTGAATTTACATATTACAGCAAGGACGATCTTGAAGAGAACATGCTAAGTGAAAGAACCCAGACACAAAAGGACAAATATGGTATGGTTCCACTTGAACGAGGTACCTAGATGAATCAAATTCATATAGACAGGAAGTAGAAAGGTGGCCTCCATGGGCTGGCCAGAGGGAGGAAATGGAGAGTTACTGTTTAATGGGTACAGTGTCAGTTGGGCAAGATGAAAACATTCAGCAGATGGTTGGTGGTGCTGGGCCTAATATTTATACATACACATATATATTTTTTTTTTCAAAAAAATGATGGTTGCACAACAATGTAAGGGGAATTAACGTCACAAAACTGTAAACTTAAATATGGTTAAAATGGTAAGTTTTATGTGTATTTTGCCACAATAAAAAAGGAAACAGATTAGAAACCCAGTCCTTCAGTCGCACTAGCCACATTTTTTGCCAAAGTCAACACATGGTAGTGGTCACCACATCGGGAAGCACGGGTGTACACCATTCCCCCTGTAGAAAGTTCCATTGGTCAGTGCTGCCTAGAGCACCACACAGGCCCCAGGGACATTCCTCTCCCTCCTCTGAAGACAGTGATGATCACACACACACACACACACGTGCGCAGCACCTCAGCCTGCACAGCCCTTGCCACTCACACTGTTCCCTGCAGAGTAACTGGGTGAGAACACTGAGGCCCAAAGGCAAGCCGCACATACTTGGTGAGGTCACAGAACAGACCAGTGGCAGGGAGCCCGGAAACCCAGGGATTCTGGTCCCAAGGGTGGCCCGAGTTATTTCAAGACAGAGGCGGCCAGGCCTTCCCTTCTTGGAACCCGGACACCCCACATATGTACTCACGTGGCTGCCAGGGGGATGGACAGCACCCCGGGCCTGCTGGGCCTCCAAGCTGGCGAGCTTCTTCCCAGCAGTGCCCTCATAGTCTCATGGAAGGACTCAGGACACACGGTAGAGGGAGGAAATTCATTTATTGAGTGCCTGCTGTGAGCCTGCTAGTGCAGCAGGTGCTGATGTGTAGGAGTTTGATCACCTTGCTCTTCTCACCCATCCTGCACTATCACCATCACTAAGATTCAGAGGGGTTCAGCAATTTTCCCAAGACCACAGAGCTTCTGAGTAGTGGAGGCAAGATTGAAACAAGGATTTCTACTGAATCATGTCTTGGGACATGATGGGGGAAGAGGGAACTAGGACCGAGGGGCAGTTAACCAAACTCCCCCCCAGCTGGGTGAGCCGTAGGTCCTGGTAATGCAATGTTCTCAGGTTTTAGGCATATTAACTCACTGCATTCTCAGCAGGTGTTGTTACTACCTATCCCTCATTTAGTTGGGCACAGAGAGGTGTAGTAACTTGTCCAAGGTCACACAGCTATTGTGAGGCAGGATCAGCATTTGAACCCAGGCAATCTGGTTCCAGAGACTTACCATGGGAAGACCCCATGGGCACAACTTCTCTGCCAGTCCTTCAAGTTTTCAGGGTGGGAAAGAGAGGCTCCTTGTCCCAGTGAGCACAGAGGGTTTAGGGAGGAAGGGGGAGAGGCAAGCTCACCTTCCTCCAGTCCATGATGTCCTTCAGCCTCCGGAATAGGAAGATGCCCTTCCCCTGGGACCGGGCTACCTGAGGTGGGGGTAGATGCAGAAAGGTCAGCATTCCGCTCTTTGTGGTCCCTTGTGTACCCCTATGCCGGGGCCCCTGCCCAGCATTTCTGTCTCCATCTCCCTCATGGGCCTCCTGCTCTCCCCAGAGGAATGGCCCGGCCCAGCCCTGAAGGAAATGGAACAGAGAAGGTGCTACGCCTGGAAGGAGGGAGAAGCAGAGGGGAAGGGAGAGGCCAGCTTAGCTCACAAAGGCATCAACTGCATGAATAATACAAAAGAGCCGATGATTAAAAACCCATTTCTAACAGTCCTGGGAACATATCATCCAATTCTTTTTTTGGAAATCAATTTGCCTTCCTAATTAGGTTTTCCTTCGGCGAATACTGAAATCAGTCTGCCTTCGCCGAATGCCAGCATGGATAATTCATAGCTTCACAGAGTCAAGGGGCAGGGAGAATCTCTAAGTCAGCACCAGAGGCATTCCTTCCTCCTGTGACATCCTCTACCGTGGGCACCTGCCGGCCTTGCACCTCCACAGAGCCAGGGCGCTCACTCCCCCTACGTCGAAACACAGCCCATTTGTTGCAGAGTAGCTCTATTAGGCAGTCATCCGAAAGGTACATAGTAGGTGTCTACTGTGTGCTGGGCATTATGCTCTAGCAATAACCTCGTGAAGTTTTCCCAGTCGAACGTGTTTTGAGCTAAATTTTGCCTGCCTGGCTCTGGCCTCTAGGACCTCCGAGGACGACTCTGATTCCTGGGTCCTTTAGTTATCTTCAGCCGCTGAGCAGGCCCCCCCATGTCATTTGTTCCTCCAGCACAAAGGCCTTCATGCTGGAGGGAAAACTCTCATTTCTCTCTGTTCTCTGAGCATGGCCCCGCTGGCCACTGCGGGGCTCTCCGTACAATGCAGGGGCAGGCAGGTATCGGAGCAGCCATGAGCCTTTGCTGTGGAGCGCTGCCCAAACTGGAGGCTCATGAGCTACATAAGACACAATGTTGTTTTAAGCCACTGCGTTTGGGGCTGCAGCAGTAGAACCAGACACTAACTTTAGGGAAACGGTTCATAACAACGGTCAGACCAGCAGCTAATACTCCTCAGGTGTTTCCTCTGTGCCAGGATTTACACACGTTACCTCCTTAAAGCTTTAAAAGAAAAACCTACTAGTATATGGAGCATCTTATCATCCCCATTTTGCAGTTAAGAAACCAAGGAACAGAGAGGCCAAGCACTCTATTCAAGTGACAGATGCAGGGTAGTTAAATCTGTACTTCACAAGGCCGGCGCTCAGGCACCTCCTGCAAAAGGCCGGAGTACACAGCGAACGTGGTGCGACTTCGGGCAGTACCGCTCTTACTTGATAATTTGGGAGGAAAGTATTCCTATAAAAAGGCATGTTATTGATTGGAAAACAATATATGGATTATTAGAATGAACCATACTTTGATTTTGCGCCACCTGTGGCCACTCACAGCCCTCCGCCCCCTGCTGCCCTCTGACTGGCCCGAGGGGGCCATTCATCATGTGGCATTCATTGTGTGGCATTTATCTGGTGCTGCAGGTGTGGCCGGTGGTCTCCCCGGCAACCACTCCCTTTTCCCCTGCCGACAGAGCCCCATTTGGATCACCTCCTCATGGTGGCCCTTCCCTCCGGGAGGTCTGAGCCCTCACGGTGGTCCTACGCCCCTGCCGTTGGTTCAGACATGGGCCAGCTGGATGCCAGAGGGAGTCTGCTGCACGGACTTCTGGAAAGTGTGTGTCCTTTTCAAAAGGGACACGAGGCTAGAGTGTTCCTTCATTACTGTGGCGAGTGAAGGTGTGAGGAGGTGAAGCCAGAGCTGCGGCAGCCATGCTGTGGCTGAGAGGAGCAGCCAGCCACTGGGATGAGGATTGAGGGCGATGTCCAGCTGCTCAGCTAACCATCCTGGAGTCAACCTGTCATCACAACCCAAGGGTGTGTTCGGATGTTCCCTGAGCGTGACAGCCACGCTCTGTCCCCCACCGAGTCTACTGAATCATAGCAGTATTGGCATATCTGCGATGCTGCTCTCAAAAGAAGTCAGTTAGTATTGCACATCGCACTATCATTGCGGTATCTCAAACATTGTTTATGCTCATGATGACTCTGAGATTATGGTAACTATTGGGCCTGCTGCTAGGCTCTCTTTAATTGTTCACTAAAAGCCCATATATTACTATAGCATAAAGAATATTCTAATAGTTTGTGTGGTGGCCGTCAGAATGCACTCGCAGGCCTCTGCCTGCAGGAGAGGGACTGATGGAGAGCCCGGCGGCGGCGGAAGTCCACCCTGTGCTTGCCAGGCCTCACTCAGGGTCCAGGCAACCCCTGAGGACTGTAGGGTCCCAAAGGCTGGCCCCTCCTGGGAGACAGGGGCCTCCCCTCAACCTTGTGGAACTTTCCTTAGGCTGTGGCAAGGTAGGAGCCCCCTCTCCCTCAACCTTCCTCCCTCACTGGGGTCTGACAGCTCTCTGAGCCTCCCACTCCCCCCCTCCCCTTTCACAGGCAAAACTCTGGCATGTTGAATCTTGTCTTGGCATCTGTTTCTCAGAGGACCCAGTCTAGCAGTCTGATAACTGTTTTCAATATAGTTGCTTTCTTTTATAATCAAATATCCTCTGTGGATGCTTTCCGAAATACTACCCTGTGCCGGGGTCCACGCGTTGCACCAGATGCTGGAGGCCCAAGGCATGAGAACAGTCCAGAACCCCTGCCCTCTTATTTGAGCTTCTGTTAGCTGGGTCCTCTGTTATTTGATGCCCAAAGCATCCCGACTCTTAGGAGATATCAGTGAAAAAGGGTGACAAGGTCCGGTTCATAAAACAGAAGATACAATGTGGTTCTTCCTGTCCTGCAGTTTGGAAAGAGGCCCCCAAGCTGAGAACAGCCCAGGTGGCCCAGACTCATGGCCCTGAATGAAGTGCCAACCAGCCCTGCAGCCAGAGAGGGGCTGACAGACAGGCCTGGGCCCTGACAGCCCGGCACCTGCCTCCCAGCCACACCAGGGCGGCCGGAGGAGCAAGGTGGTCCCCACCGTCTGGGTCTTGCCAGCCCAGAGGGCCTGCGAGGTGGCCGGGGAGAATGCTCCGATGGAAATAGTTTGGATGTGTGCACTTTAACTCTAGACTGGACTTTTAAATTCCAAATCCAGGGGTTTGTTCTTACATTCCCTGGGAGTGACAGCCAAGCTCTGTCCCACACCGAGTCTACGGAATCAGACTCCGTGGGGGTGCGGGCTTTACTAAGCTCTCTCCAGAAAATTCCCACTCACTCTCAAGTCTGAGCTGAACAGTCTCATGACTCAAAGTGTTGTTCAGGGACCAGCAGCAATGGCAAGCTCATTAATCCCATTTTACCCACGAGGAAATGGACTGAGAGGGGTTGAGCGACTGCTCAGGGTCATAGCGCTCATAAGTGGCAGATACAGGGTTAGAACCCAGGCTAGTCTGACCAGAAGCACGTGCCACTCAGCTTACACCCGAGACAGGGTGCCTCAGCTACCGAGGAGGGAGAGCAAGTGGGTGTGCGCACGCGCAAACACACACACACACACACACACACACACACACACACACACACACACACGATCCCTCCTCTTAATTACAGCCGTGAAGGCCGTGGGCTGGGAAAAGGAATCAACTTAACCCCTTCCCCGGCAGAAACGTGTATACACGTTTTCACAAAATGTTCTTTTTTCAGTCGTCGACGAGTATACTCGTCTAAAACTTTACCTTCAACAACCAGCTACATACGTACCATTCTAAATAATTTCATCTAGAAACTTTCTGAGGAAATACTATTCTTAACCACAAAAATGGGAAGAAAAAATAATTACAAACTGTTTTCATAACCAGCATCAAAAATACTATATAGAACCAAAATAAAAAAATTAGTCTGAAAAAGAAACGTTTTTAACAAAAAAATTGTTGGGGAAGGGGTTAATACGCAAGTGCTCGTTCCCAATTAGCACAAACTACCATTTGTGGGAGGATAATGCCTGCTGGGCGCTGGACCCGCAGGTGGGTTACAGCGTTCACCTGCCCAAGCCCTTGTGCTCAGCTTCCCGCCCTCCTCCCTCCGCCTCTCAGGCGGGGCGGCCAGCCTTCCCGCAGCCCCGCCGGGGAGAGGATCAGGAGCCTGGGCAGATCCGGCTCAGACTTCGCTCTCTGGGCATTTGAAAAGCTTGAATAAGTAGGTTGAGGCTCCTCACCTTCGCAGTGGGGCTGGTGGGACCTCCTCCCAAGGACCATGAGACCTGGGCAGCGCAAGAACGCACTTCCCGTACCCCGCCTCTGTTTTCCTTTAGTCAGGAAGAGAGGCAGGGATCTGAGCTCCAGCAAGACCCTGGATCCCTGCCCTGGTGCCCTGAGGACCACGTGTTCCCCTGCCAAACACTTATTGAGCACCTGCTGTGTACTGGCATTTCTAACTGCTGGGTCCACACGCTGCAGAGAGGAGGAGATGAAGTTGACCTTCAGGGGAGGCAGGCGGTGCATCTAAGGCTAATTACCAGGCAGGGTTCTGTCCTGAGGTGCGCCCTGAAGGGTCCCTGCTCTGCTGCCTGGGACACCCCTCCCCCCAGTCCTTGGCCCTGGGCACTCACAGGTTTCATGATCCAGGTGATTCCTGGGTTTTTACGAAACTCCTCCACAAACAGGTGGTACTCGCACGGCATCTCAAAGGTTTTGGGGAAGAAGTCGCACTTGGCTGCCTCCAGCTTTCCTGCCTCGCGCTCCAGCTGTTTCCGGAACCGCTTCAGGTTCTTCACCATGTAGTTCTTGCGGGTCAGCTGAGCAGGGGGATGGATGGGCAGGCCCTTAGCCCCACTCCACCTCCAACCCTGCCCATCCCAACTGCCCCACCGCCTCCATTGTCTGGCCCACAAAGTAACAGTAACTTTGACGAAGCGTAACTCTAGCCTGCGCTCCTATCAGTCTCCCCACTTCACAGGTGAGGAAGGGGAGGCTCAGAAAGGTTTAGTCAGTTGCCCAGAGCTATGCCGCTAACAGGCAGCACAGCCAGGCTTTGATCCAGGTCTGTCTAACCTCGAAGGGCCTGCTTCTAACCGCTAAGCTGTACAAACCTTCTAAAATTTCCCACCGCTGGGTTCTCCATCTTTGTGGTCTGGTCCCTCCTGGACCTCCCTCCTGTCTCTAGACTCCAAACTGTTCAACTTGTCTCCGCCCTGAGATCACCATACACGCGCAAGCATCCTGCACCTTTGGTCCTTGCACCCCAATCCAACCGGACCCTCACATCTCTACTGCTGAAACGTCACCCAGCCGGTGACCTCCGACCCCACCCCAAGACGGCCTGTTCCTCAGGTCTTAGATCCTTACTCCCTCTCACTGGTTAGCTCATCATATATCCAGTGCACATTGCCCACCTGGCGTGCACCCCGAAGTCCCTGACACCTTTCACTCTGGTCCGTGTAACCCCAAACTAGCTCCTGCTCATTGCTACAACCAGTGACAGGCCTTGACCGGCCCAGTCCCTCAGCCTGCCCAGCTCACCTCGTAGTGGTTTCGGAAGTGACTGATCCGCACGTGTTCATCCATATAGGTGTGGTCGAAGTTCTCCCGGAGCCAGCTGACGTCACACCAGTAGAAATCCCACTCCCCTTCGCTGGGAGTGGGGTGGGACAAAGGTCATGACCTGAGGGCCTCAGCACTGCTGGGAGTCTGGGGGCGAGGGAGCTACAGCTAAGGGGTCAGCAGCAGTGTGTCTATTAGGAGTCTCAAGGAGGTGGCTGTGGGCCGCTGCTGACCACACCCTGGTTGGTTAGTTAGGCTAGAATGACAACCAGAGAAACATCCCTACCCAAATCCAGGCTGGTGGTTTCCAGTGAGCCCAGATATTACTTCCTGGCACATATTGGCCAGACTGCTATTCTATAATTATCCCCACTATAATTATCCATGTCAGACAGGCACACCCTCCAGAAAACAGCCCCCACCACTCCCTATGGCCTATGACAACCGGCCAACCTCACCCGATCATGTTACCTGCCTGGGTCTTGGTAGCATCCTGGGGGTGCCACCCCCATGCTCACATTACCAAGCAGTGGACTTAGGTGACATTTGCAAGGCCCTTTGAGTTCAAAAGGCCCTCTTCTTACTCAATCCGCAGAGCAGCAGCTCTGGAAGAGACTAGGATCACACCTGGAGCCCTAGGACAAGGTGGGGCTTGCTCACCCAGGACATAGCATCAGGATTCACACCCAGGCCTGCCTGACTCCAAACTCCGACCTTCTTCTTCACCACCATGACAGGGAGAGGGACAGAAACCAGACTAAACTATGAAATCTGGTACCAGAGCTGGGGTGGAGGTGCTTGAAAAAGATGTGAAATAAAATAATGCCTCCATGATTACTTCTAAATATTTAAGTAAAAAATGAGATATGACTGAAGTCCCATGTATCATCTTTCCTGCCCCAAAGGAAGCTACTAGCCTGAATATGGTGTGTATCATTTCTATGACTGTTTTTAAAGCTTTACTATGTACATATGTGTGTATTCATCTACAGCATATGACACTGTTTGGCATGTTTTAAAAATTTCTAATAGCTAATACTTATTGCTTACCATGTGCTTGACACTGTTCTAAACACTTTACAAATATTAACTCATTGACCCTCATAGCAATCCTAAGTGTTAGGTTCTATTATTAAGCCCATTTTACAGATGAGAAAGCTGAGGCAGAAAGATGTGAAGGAACTCACCCAAGTTCATACAGCCAATTAGTTGCAGAGCTTCTGAGAACAAGCTCTGTGGTTAGAACCACTCCTGACTATTTCCTTTTACAACTTGCTTTTCCACCAACTTTTTTTTTTGGATGAATGAATAAATAATGGATGAATGACTAAATAATGCATTATTCATTCATTCATCCAACACATATGTGTTGAGGTTATCTTCGTGTTAGAGATGATGTTGGGTGCACCATTGGGTATAAGACATAGGAGGAACCAAAACTACTGGCCAGGTGGTGCATATAATACCACAGTGAAAATTAAGAATAAACAAAGAAACAACAAAAAAAAATAACTCTACAATGAGGAATTGTGAAATATGCCAAGAGCAATCCAGTAGGAGGCCATGAGGCAGGGTAGCTGAGGGACCTATGTTGGGTGGAGGCCACCATGTGGAAGTGATAATTTGACTGAGGTCTTAAAGGTAAGGAGGAGGGAAGGGCAGGAAACGAGGCCCTGAGGTTGGAAAGAGCAGGTTCAAGAATGTGAAAGGCCAGAGTAGAGGGATAGAGGTCACGGATGATGCTGAAGAGTAGGGCAGGGCCCAATTAAGCAGTGCTTTGTAGGCGATGGTGCGGATTTGGGGTTCTTTTCTAATTCTGAAAGTCCATTCATCTGTACATCATCTTCATGATCATCACAGCCAAGTTGCTCTTACATCACCCACAAAGACATGAAACTGCTCAACAAGGGCAGCCGAGATTCAGGCTCCTTCTACCTTCCCATTCTGCCATCCACCACATGTTGTCCTCATGCTCATCACCCAAGGGTCACAAGACGTTGTTGCAGTTCTAGGTATCACGCCATCTTTCTTGGTGGGAAGCAAGGGAAGAGACAGCTCTGGCCACATCTATTCCAAACACCTGACGGGCCAATGGTCTCAACTGAGACCTCATTCTATCTGGAGATACTAGACCTCAGTTTAGGTCCAAAAGGGTGAGGCCTCACATCCATAGAGCCATGTCTGGTGTGATGGCCCCGGCCTCTGGCCCTTCCCGATTTGAGGACCCTGAGGCAATTTAGGATCAGTCGTGAAGCAACCTGCTTCATGGACTCCCACACCATTAGCACCAGACAAACCCTCAAACCACGGAGCAAGGCTGAGGAGGGGTAGTGGACAGCCTGAGCCCACAGAGCAAACCAGGAGAGAGCCCCTTCCTGTACAACACCTTCATGTGCCAGTCACCTCACCTTCCTCTAATTCATCCCAAGGCCCTCCCCCATCCTCCGTTGCACCAGGCAGTGGGAGTCATGGATCCATGCTTTGGCTCATTTGTTCCTTCGTTCACTGCGAGGCTGCTAGAATAGCGCAGAGATGAGCCTGGGACTCTGCAGACAGACCGAGTACAAATCCTAGCACAAGCCCATACAAGCAGAGTGACCTCAAACATGACATTTTTTTACTCTTTTGTGTCCAGTTTTCTCGTCAGTAACATGGGGATAATAATAGCACCTACCTGGAAGGTTTGCTGGATAATTCAGAGAGGTTGTGCATGTGAAGTGCTGAACTATTGTTATGCAACAGATATGTATGGAGCACCGTGACAGGGTAGCTGGTTGTCCTCCCTTTTTTCTATAGTAGTAGAATCCCAGCATTTACCGTTCTACATTTTCCAGATTCCCTTGCAGCTAGGTGTGGCCACATGGCTAAGGTTCAGCCAGTGAAATGGGACTTCTGGGTTGTGTCCTTTAAGGGCAGGGCATGTCTTTTCTTGCCTCCTTCTGACCTACGGCTCTTGGAATGTGGATGTAAGGCTGGAGCTCCACCTGAGACCGTGGAGGAGAAGGGCCTCATTCAAGGGATGGCGGAGTGGAAAGCCAGACGCATATGGACCCCACATTTCCACACCATCTCTGAACGTCCTACCTCTGGACTTCAGTGGGAGAGGTAAGTAAACTTCCAGTGTGTCAAAGCGTCTTTTACTTTGGGTCTCTGCTACATGCATCCAAACCCTAACCCTAGAAGCTAATATTAGCACCTATTATGTGCCAGGCATTGTAAGCGTATTCATCTCAGTATCCTCAGGGCTCAGGATAGAAGGAAAAAAATGTAGGCTTAGGTCATTTGTTAAGTAATTTGTTCAAGGTCACAGAAGTAGTACGTGGCCAGGGGAGAGTAGCCCTTGACCGGGACCTGTCATCACAAAATTCCCACCAGCAGGTCTGTGATGGCTGCGCTCCTTGTCTTACAGAGAGCCACAGGACACTGCTGGAACACGGCATATTTAAGGGCAGGGCATGTCTTGTCTTGCCGATTTACAGCTCTTGGAATGTGGATGTAAGGCTGGAGCCCCATGACATGGAGCTGTGGAATAACCAAGCTGGGTTTGAATCCCACTTATGTACTCTGTGACCTTAAGCAACTGGCTTAATCAGATGTTTCTGGATGCTTATAAGGCTTAAATAAGACAAAGATAGCACCAATAATGTGCCTGACCCATGTGGGTGCTAAATAAATGTTGGCCCCTGTCACACACGAATTGGGATGAGTCCCAATAGCCACCCAGAGGAACTGGGAGAAAAACAAAGGGCGACAAGGACCCGTGAGACAAAGGGAAGGAGGGATGAGGTTGGGGTGGGGGAATCTTACTCCTTTACTTCCACCCATCCTGGCCTGTGGCGAAGGACATCCATAAGAGTATTCATAAGAGTGGTCTTGAACCGGACTGATGCTCTCTGCTCTCTGCAAGACAAGGCAACAGGACCCTTGCTGAGGATCAACTATTTCCCTAGGATGGTCCAGGGATAGGGCAAAAGGGGAAGAAAGGCCAAGGTGCACACCTGGAAATGCCAAAAAGTGGAATGACTGGATTTCAGAATTTAGCATATAACACGCAACACTTAAAATAATCAAATTGAACATTATAGCAATTTGAATCATTGAAAAATAATAGCAACCATTTTATTCAGTGCCTACTATGTGCCATGCGTAACCCTTATAACTAATGATACGTATTTGCAGATCCCCTGTTCTGGCACTCATCCTGAAAGATGGAGGAGAGGTGATGTTCCCTATTCCTTCTCTAAGTTCAACTAAAACCCCAGGACACTAGATAAAAACAAACACACAGAAGAAGACTGTGTAAGATGAATAGAAGAAGGTAGACCAGCTAGGGACTTTAGGACCCACAGGACAGCAGGGTGGTGAATTTTCTGCGTGGTTTATTTTTGTTTTGTTTTATTTTGCCTCCTAGCTCCCAGAGGTAAAAACAAAATGTTTAAACTGACAAATACCAAGTGTTCGTAAGAGTGTGGAGAAATGGTAATTACCGTACAGTGCTGATGGGAGTGTAAATTGGATGAACCTTTGGAGAGCAATTTGGCATATTAAAGCCATCAAATACCATTTCATACACATTAGACTGGCAAAAATCTCAAAGTCCGAGTTCTGGCAACAATGCACTAAAATGGAAATTCCTCCCCTGCCGGTCAAAGGCACTTTGGAGAACCACGAGGCAGTATTTAGTACAGCTAACCATGCACTGACTCTGCACCCAGCATTCCATCTTAGCTCTGTACCCTAGATCAGGGGTCTTCAAACTGTGGCCCGCGGGCCACATGCAAATACAAATATTATATTTGTTCCCGTTTTGTTTTTTTACTTCAAAATGAGATATGTGCAGTGTGCATAGGAATTTGTTCATAGTTTTTTTTTAAAAAACTATAGTCCGTCCCTCCAACGGTCTGAGGGACAGTGAACTGGCCCCCTGTTTAAAAAGTTTGAGGACCCCTGCCCTAGACACCCTACATATGTTCTAAGCAATATATGTACAAGGGTGTTCCTTAGTAATTGTTAGTATTTTGTATGGAACGAACCTGCAGCATATACTGTTGGTGGCCCACCCTTATCCCTCGGACATTCACATTCCTGCGCATGCCAGTCAGAGGGCGTTCCACTCCCAGCACCTGTAGCTCTTTGCTGCGGGGCTTTTCCTGGCTCTCCAGAGTCTGCTCTGCTAGTTCTTGGAGCAGAACTAAAGTACCAGGGAGTTAACTGCCCTCCCCCAATAGCATGTAACCAATGATGGCTGGAGTTGATGGGTAAGTCCTCCAGCTCGCTCATCATTTAGTTGGGTGAAGTCTGCAGCGTGTTCTATGCTATCTCCTAGGAGTCCCAGTGGGATTGAGCCCTACTTACCCACAGCAATAACCTGTCAATAATGTACCTTTTATTGGTTTCCTTCCTTTAGCTGACTCACTTCCCTGCCAGTGCTTACTGAAATCACCTTCCAGATAAACGACTTGTCCTCGAATCCTTGGCTCAGGGTTGCGTCTGGAGGAAACCAATACTAAGACACAACCTATATGCCTTTTAACAGGAAGTAGATAAATAACTTGTGGTAAACAATGGGACCTATGGAGTAGTTAAATGTATCAGACCTACATGCACAAATATGATAAATACTGAAAATATGATTTTGGGTTACAAAAGCAGGATGTGTGATATTCACAGTGTAATGCCACTATGTAACTTGTATTCTTAGCCACTCATGCAGCTAGGGGTGTCCATGTCACACAGTTCTGGTCAATAAATTAAATATATAAGGCTGATAAGGAGGGTGGGTTCCTAGGAAGATTTGTGGGTTATTGTTTTTTGTGTTTTTTTTTTAATGTTTTGATGTGTGTGTGAGAGAGAGAGAGAGAAAGAGAAGAGGGAGGGATGGGGGGAGGTATTGTGTCTTCCCTCCCCACTTCTTCCCATCTTGATCATGACATGAAGGCTGGAGCTGTAGCAGCCACTTGGTGTCCATACGGAAAAGATCAAGACAATCACAGAGACACTAGCTCTGACATTGTTGAACTACTGCCCCAGCCCTCCAGATTTTATGTTATGTGGAAAAAAAATACAATATTTTAAAGCTGCTATTAGTTGAGTTTCCTGTTACTTGTAGCTAAACACATTTCTAATTGATATCTGCCCTAATAAAATATGTGGGTGGATCCTGTTAACTGAAGTGCTCTTTGTTTTGCGGGGGTAGGAGTGGGTGTATAAATATAGGGCCAGGAACTAGAACAGAGCTGAATCGCTCTGCATAAGAAACTGAGAGATTTGAAATTGATAGGATAGCGTTAGTATGGAGAGAAAGAAGCAAAGATGGCTGCTGCATGAGAGAAGACGACTCGATGGTGGTAGAGCCAGGAGGGACTTGAGAGAGAACAAAAATATATAATGAAATAAAGAATGGAAATATCTAAAGTATTTGCCACGGTGTGTACAAAGTAAACTACCTCTTCTAACTCCCCACACAAATCTTCAGCAAAGTCTACATTGCTCACTCCTGCTTTGTGCAAATGGATTCTATTTAGGAAGTCTGAAGAGGGGCTGCGTTCTGCACCAGGTTACTGATGCAGAGCGAAGCAGAAGATCAGGGCGGAGTTGACATTCGAGTTATCAAGTCAACTTCTCGTGGTTGTTAAAGGAGGAGGGAAGGCGTAGTTACATATAACATGGGACCTGGAGTCCAACAAACTCTGCTACTAACTAATCCTATGGCCTTGAGCGAGTTACATAACTTCTCTAAGCTTCAGATCCCCATCTATAAAGTGGTCATAATAGTAAGTATTGCCGAAACCGGTTTGGCTCAGTGGATAGAGCGTTGGCCTGCGGACTGAAGGGTCCCAGGTTCGATTCCGATCAAGGGCATGTACCTGGGTTGCAGGCACATCCCCAGAAGGAGATGTGTAGGAGGCGGCTGATCGATGTTTCTCTCTCATCGATGTTTCTAACTCTCTGTCTCTCTCTCCCTTCCTCTCTGTAAAAATCAATAAAAAAAAATATATTTTAAAAAAATTAAAAAAAAATAGTAAGCATTTACTTCAAGGATTGTGGTAAGGATTCAATGGGATAATTCAGGTGAAGTGACTAGCCCAGGGCCTACCACATGGTAAATGCTCAATAATTGTTTGTTTATTATCATCATCATCATTATGCTTATTGAAGTTAAGAAGGAGGCGGGGGAAGGAAGGAAGGAAATTATTTCTGTGTTTATTAAATTGGGTTGGACCACTCACCGTTCTTTTCCCTTTGACAATCCATAGCCCTTGTAGTTTTGATTCTGCAACAAGAAAGGAAAAGTGATACAACTAGTTTTGCATGTCCACCTTGCCTTCCCAGTTCCACTTACTGCAAATATTTACATCCTCAAACCATCAGATTCAACACTGTCCAGATCCTGCGACAGTAAGGTCATCTGGCCAAGTTCTCATTGATCACCATGTGGCCAGCAACTTGGTCCTTGGAATGAATCTCCAAACACCCAAGGCCCACCTCACTGTAGACTTTCTCCACAGGCATGACCAGTAGAGTGAATACCTAGTTTTCAATGCTCCAAAGGTCTATCCTGAACCCAAGTTTTGAGGGCTGAGCTCAGCCATCTCTGTGAGAAGACCTTCTACTACTCCAGCCTTGAATGTTTTATTAGATCCATGATTCAGGAGGGGCCTGGATCAAAGACTCAGAGAACAGTTAATTTCTTCCACCCAAAATAGACCTTTCAAATTCTCAAAGGGTGGTGGGTATTATTCTGCTTCTACCATACAGCTTGGCCCGCAGCCCTGGTATGACTGATGGTAGATATGAGCACCTACTGTGTACTGGCATTCCTAGCTGTTGTTTTGGGAAGAAATGACATCATAAAGTATTGAGTCTTCCAATCCATGAATATGGTCAGTCTCTCCATAAATTTAAATCTTCATTAATTTCTTTCCACAATGTTTTCTAGCTTTTAGTGTATGTCTTGAACATTTTGAATTTTTCATAGGTATTTGATTTTGTGATGCTATTGTTAATATGTTGCATTCTATAGCAAAGCAAATTAAGGTTGCAGATTAAGGAGTGAAGGTTGCTAACCAACTGACTTTAAAATATTGATTATACTGGATTATTTGGGATTACCTGGGGGAGGTCCAATGTAATTACTCATTTTTAGTTGTGAAAAGGAATTAAGGAAAGGAGTTGCCATTCATAAGAGACGGAACACGGGATAAGAAGAAGCAGATTGGGGTAGGAAGTGCTAGATTCTAGAGCAGTGATGGCGAACCTATGACACACGTGTCAGAGGTGACATGCGAACTCACTTTCTTGGTTGATTTTTCTTTGTTAAATGGCATGTAAATATATAAAATAAATATCAAAAATATAAATCTTTGTTTTACTATGGTTGCAAATATCAAAAAATTTCTATATATGACACGGCACCAGAGTTAAGTTAGGGTTTTTCAAAATGCTGACACGCCGAGCTCAAAAGGTTCGCCATCACTGGTCTAGAGTAACTTATTTCATTTCTTTGGGTCTCTCTTTTCTCACTTAAAATGGGGGAGATGGCCTATGCACTCCTAGAGATCAGGACTTCACCTTGTGTCCCCATTGGCCAGCGCTGTGATCCGATGGATGGATGGATGGATGGATGGATGGATGGATGGATGGATGGATGAGTGGGTTATGAATGGATGAATGGGCAGGCAAGCGGGAGATGGGGCGAACAAATCTCTAAGAGCTTTTCCAAATCAGGAAATCCGAAATTCTGAGCTTCCCCCGAGTCACAGAAATCGCTGAGCACAGTTCGAGTCCTACAGTTTTGTAAATTTCCCGCCAGCCAGTCTGGTTCGGTGGACTTGCGCAGAGGCTCCGATGGCGCGCGGCATGCCGGGACTTGTGGTCTTTTCTCTGAATTTATAATTTTTGCTCATTCCATCGGGATCCTTCCGCGAGGATCCTACATTTTTAATCCCTCCCTCCCTCTCTTTAGGGACGATGAAAGCACCACGGTCCTGCTGCACTCCTACCTTCGGTCGTGACATGACGCGATTCCTCAGGGCCCGATTCAAACCGCCACCTCACCGGGCAGGAGCCTTTGCGTCCTGTTGCCAAGGCGACGGAGGGGGGGGGTGCCTGGATCCGCCGCTCTGATTGGATGAGCCAAGAGCACGCCTTCTGGAGGGGTCGGCGGATCCGAGAGGCGGAAAGTCATTGCACGCCCCTGTGGCCCAGACCCCCGACTCCCGCAAAATTTTCTCCCAGCCCCACGCCTCCGAAGCCGTAGGACACTCCCGGTCAGAGTCTGCCGCGGGCATTCACGGCCCAGAGCCTGTTCCAGCTGAACTCCGCTTGACCTGAGAGCGCTGAGTCTGAAAAGTTGTCAGCTTTTGGAAAATGCAATGATTCTGTTTCCTTACTCCGGCCCTCACTAAGTCCTCTGGTCAGTTAGTTGATCAGTTGATAACGCTGCCAGTCACTTCTGCTCTCTCGTCTGTAATTCCTGAGCACCGACTCTATGCCAGAGCTCACCTCAACGCCTGCAGTAGCCGCCTACCTGGCCGGTCTACTAGTGACCTCTATTGCCCTACCCATTCCAGTTTCGTTCTCTGCACTGCGGCCAAAGAGCTCTTTCAAACACAAATCCGACCTTCGTTCTCCCCTGCATATAACCTGAAGTGGCAACTTATTATCAATGCATTCTGTACTGGCTCCCTGTCCTTCCCCCCTGTCCCCCACCCACTACCCGGGGATCTATATACCTATCATAGCTGATGAGGAACTATTTTTTAAATTTGTATAGCAACAAAAATATGTTAGGTAGGAATATGTCTAACAAAATGTATGCAAGATATTTCATTAAACAACAAATTCTTATTAAGCATCTACTCTATGTTATCTCCCATTCTTGACTCTGAGGATACAGCAGTGAACAAAATCAACTAGCATCTGCCCTTGTGGACTTTGTATTCTCATAGAGAAAACTGCAAAGCATTGAAGGACATTAAAGAAGGCCTGAATAAATGGAGGGATATACCATGTACATGGATAGGATATACCATGTACATGGATGGGATATTCAATATCAACATAAAAATGTGTATTTTCCCAAATCCAACCAGGGATTTTGAGAGCTCTTGTCAAACCAAA